AAAATTTCCTTTTCAAAAGCAAATTCCTAGATACAGAACCTGTGGACCAAGACGTGTGATCATTCCTGACACCGTAAGGTTTTTCATCCGCGGACATTATAACCCCAAGTGTCTATGAGTTGTCTCCTCAGCGTGGAATCCCCAATCTGTCTAAAACCAGGTGGATTTTTGTTTTCTCTTATGTTTAGAACAGTCTTTCATTACCTCCCAGGCATATGAAAACTCGTTATCCTAGTCTTATTGTGTGAAGTTTGATTTTTTCCCCCCTTTACAGCTAATACTCCTGGAATTCATTTTCGTTTTCTTTTCCCCTGATGTGTTTGGGGTCTTTTAAAAAATACTGCACAAAGGGCCGGCTGAGTGGCTCAGTTGGTTAAGAGCTCGCTCAAGAGTTTGAGCTCTGAGCAACAGCGGTTCGAGTCCAGCCCGAGCTGAGCAGCCACTGAGCTGCCAACAGGTAGTAGGATGGCTCAGCTAAAAAAAAGAAAAAAAAAATACTGCACAAGCTGAGACTCTAAAAAAGCTTTGAATCCGAAATAGAGAATGGTTGATCCTAGTATATAATTTTTTATGTGTATATATATATATGTGTGTGTGTGTGTGTGTGTGTGTGTGTGATTGCATATATTTCTTCTCAGGTAACTATGTTGTACTTTGAGTTCTTTAAAAGCTTCCGAGATGAGCGCACGAGCAAAACGGAGGGTAAAATCTATCTGCTTCACATGCTAAGGTCAGCTTTGTAGCTACGTCACGTGGCTCCTGGCTTCTGCCCACTTTTCCAGTTTCACAAGCTGAGGTTGTAAGTTTGTCCCTCAAGGAACCCCCGCTGACATATTCCAGAATAGAAGGATGAACTGCCTCTCAAGCCATCGTACTTACTAACTTGTGTACTTACTAATCATCACTGTTAGTCTCTGGGTACACTATGACCTTGAAAGTTCAAGTTCAGACATCCAGTTCAACAGCCACCAGCCAGGATGGGTGCCGTGACAGTCCCCTTTGAGGGCAGGATGGCTCTGCCCAGCACACATAGTATACGCTTTGGAAAGCGTTCCTCACCTGTGTGCCTTCAGTACGGGGGAAGGGATTTTCCCGATGACCCTCCGGGCATCTGAGAAGTAAAACACTCTCAGGTGTGGCGTGAACTCAGCTGTTCCCATTCTCAATGCTTTCCTCTACACAGTTTGCTTTGAAATCACTCAAGAAAAGCCTCAGAATAAACAGACACAGGTAGAGGCATTATTTTTAGAAGGCAGTGCTCCATACTTGGAGGACAGCACTTTGGGGGGCCGGGGGGGCCGGTGACCCCTGAAATGTCCTACTTTTCCAGATTGCCAAACTTCCATTTGCAGAGACAGCAGATTAGGCTGTTGTTTTATTTTAGCAATTGATGATGGACTGATTTTTTTTTTTTACCTAACTCTGCAGTCACGTAACCACTCAGGTTTCTCAATTAATAAATGAACTGCTCTAACCCCGTTTGGCATTCGCGGCCTCCCTAGCCACAGGTGTGCTATCTCCCCAGCAAAAGCTTCATTTCTTTGATATGAAGATAGCATTTCCAGGTCACCTACACCTAGCTGGTTGGGTCAGGGACATGTCTTCAACAAGTGACATTGGAGTGGTTTGAAAGGTGGGGGGTCCCATCTGCAGGAAAGGTCTCTAGAGAACCAAGTGCCAAAATGTGGCACTTGGGGACCTGGCACTCAGAGACATAGTTCGTATTCAGCTGGGCTGGGCCTGGGTGTGGTCTGGGATGCCTGTGGTCACTCTTATCATACTTATTATAATAAGTTTCATCATCTGTCATTAGTCGATCACACCTGACGAGGATTGCAATAGAACCCAGATAACCAGCTAACTAGGTTATCACGAATTCTTACTACATTAAGCCAACACACACCCTCCCCGGGGTCATCCTGGGCTGAGGGAGAAATGAGAAACAGGCGATTGCCAAGCTCCCCACCCACAGTGAGTGTTCATACCTCCTTGTCTAACCCCTTGCTGGGAAACAGCTCATGGGGATGAGGACCAAAAGACCCCAAGCCCCCACAAACGGCTTGCCCACAAACTCATCCGAGGACATCGGGACGGAGCACTGCGCCTGGCAGATGTTCCTGCTACTGAGTGGGGACTCCACGAACGGCTTCCTCTGAATTAGGGTAAAATCGAAGTACTATTGATACAATCTGAGGCCATAGTCCTATAACTGAACACCCCTGCAGATTTTCTGCCTGCCTTCGAGGCCCAAATCATACGTGGGCATATCATCATGCGCTATCCATCCCTGTCCAGGTCCAGATTCAAACCGTTTTCCACATGGTAGGAAAAGTCTCTTTCCAGGCGCCCCGGGGAGACCTCTTCCAAAGTGTGGGAGCGTGCCGTAAATACGCGCCAAGGTTCTTTCTACCCCGGCGAGGGGCAGTGTATGTAGACCCATCTATCTCAGAAAACATACAGACACGCTTTCATTTATAAATGTTTATGTACATGTCAGTTGTAATGTCTGTGAAGGCAGCTGAACACTTGTTTTGGAATACAGATTAGAATACGTAATAAAACCTATTCAAATATATAAGATAGAATACATATTACAGACTATATTAGAAGGTAATATCTAATATATGTATACATTGCAAAGTCTGTGAAGGCAGAACACTTCTTTTAGAATATACATTAGAACATATAACAAAATATATCACAACAGAGCTAATAAAATATATTAGAGTATATAAGACTATAATATATAATATCAAATATTATATATAAACTGTAAAGTCTGACGACAGCTATACACTTCTAGAATATATATTATAAATTATATGACATAAATTATCAGAACATGTTATAAAATATATTAGAATATATATTATAGAATATATTAGAATTTGTAACATAGTACATATAAAAATTGTTAAGTCTGTGATGGTAACTGCGCACTGCTTTTTAACTTTATCAGTATCTATGCACGCATGTAGACACATACACATAGATGTATCCACATACACACACATGTATCCATATAAACACAGATATAGCCACATATACACACACGTATCCATATAAACATAGATGTATCCACATATACACACATGTATCCATATAAACATAGATGTATCCATATACACACATGTACCCGTATGTACTCAGACACACATACAAACACATGCACACATATATATGTGTATATTTACACATACATTTACACATATACAAAGAAGCGTCCAGCTGCCTTCACAGATGACAACTTTTTGCCTCTTGCGTTCCTTCACCAACGCGGATCAGGAGTTGCATGTCGTTTCTTTCTGGCCGAGGCAGAAACACGTTCCTGGTGGGTCACAGACCCCATTCTTCCGTCACGCCCCTCAAGGTAACGTGCGCGTCGCGTCACAAAGGCAGCGGTGACCCCAGAAGGCCTAGCTGAC